TGCGTAATTGACCTGGTAGGAAAGCAATGATTAAAAATTTCAGTTAAAATATTTATAAAGGTATTCCATTGACTATTAACCTCTTTTTTGTTTATGTTGTATATGTCAAACCAGTCCTCCCCTTTCATTAAATCCAAAAATATTGATTTATTTTCATCTGAAAAAATCCTCCTTTGTTGTATAATTTTTTTTGGCTAGTTTTAGTTTAATAGATATTTTTTGTGCGGTGTAGTCAAAGATAAACGTGTTTAAAACATTTGTCTCTACATAATCTATGCATATGAAGATATTGTCTATACATAAGGCTGAATTGTGAGAGATTCTGGTGTTTTTAAAAATTGATTGTTTTAAACCAAAAGATTGTATCACTGATAAAAAGTTAAGTTTATCTGCACTATCCTTCAACAAATCTGTGTTAAAGTCGCCTGCGACCAGGACTATTTTGTGTTCAATGCACACAAGTTCCAACAGATGACCTAAACTGCTTAAGAAATCGTTAATTTTACCTGATGGTGATCTATATACACATATGATTACAAGTTTAGATTTTTCAAAATTACATTCCACAGCTGAATACTCAAATTCATTAGTCACCGAAAGTTTGGTAATAGTGTGTCTTGGTTGAAAACTGACACTTTTATGCACATACACTGCACATCCCCCATGTTGTCCTAATTGTCTGCAGAAACTTGCTCCCAATTTAAAGTTGTGTAAAGTTAGATATTTCAACTGATCCTCCGTTTTCCAATGCTCAGTAATGCACAAAATCTTCAATTTTTCATGATCTTTCACCATGTCATTTAATCCATTAACAGAATTACCTAGTTTGATGAATGATACTAATATCTTTTAGAACTGTTTTAAATTTATTTTGATATGTTAGTTTTTTACATTTTTTATTATCATATTTAATTGGTACTGATTGAACTCCTCATTATAATTTATGTTGTTTTTAAACCTACTGGACAATCTCTATCTCTTGCCGAGTGGTTAGTATCTGACAGTTTGAATTTTTGGCAGTTTGGGCATATTAATACATTTGTCTTGCATTCTTTTGACGTATGAAGCTCTCCGCATTTGTAACAGCATTCTTTTTCTATGCAGTATTTTTGTTTTGTGTCCAAAACCTGCGCATTTAAAACACATTGCTAAGTTGATATGTTTTTGCACGTACACGGTTACTAAGCCAAAGAATACCTTCTGTTTTTTCAAAAACCACTTTGTGATGCTTGGTGGTGCTTGTAATATCCAGTTCTCTTTATTTTGGTTTCTGCATTGTTTCTTCGCTACCACTTTAATTTTATCACCAATACTGGTTTTTAATTCGTTAACAATATCATAATGTAATGTTTCCAGCTCTTAATTAAATTCTATATCTGAGAAACCTTTTTCAGTTCCGGTTATCATGAACATAGAGTTTGAGATTACATTTTCTTTAAATTTAATGTTTTCTTTGTTACTTATTGCCATTTTTAATTGTTTTTGTTGTTCTGTGTCATAACTTTCCACTACCAAGGCTCCATCCTTTGTTTGTTTTATGGTTTTAAAGGCTTTTCCCATTTCTTTTATGTCAATTTGTTGCTTTAATGTTTTTATTGCTTCTTTGGAGTTAGTAACATTTTCAAATCTTATAATCGTTTCATGTTTTCTTGTTGTCTCTGGGGTATTCCATTTTTCCGATATTATTTTTGATGCATTTGTATGCTGATCTCCGTTTTGGTTTTCATTTGCTATTTGGGCATGTTTTTTTATTTTGACTGAGGTCTCTATTATTTGGTTTAGAAAGGGATTTTTCTTTATTCCTTTGACACATTCTTTGTTCTAGGATTATATTTTTCTTTTCCAGCTCGCTCACTTTAAACTGTTAGGGCTCTATGTATTGTGTCCCGCGCCTCTCTTACTGATTTTTGTTCACTATGGGACAAATATGTTTTTTCGTCTTGTTCCTCTTTTCCAGTTATCAGTGCTATTTGATCTAACGCTGTAAATACATTGGTGATGAGTTCTTCCGAGGCTGCCGGCTTTATTTTCATATCTTCATTTTTTTGAGTCTCGATTACAAAGTTCATACTTTATCTACTCCAATAAGTAGATAATTAAATGATTTTTAAAAATAAATAAATAAAATCTGACATCTGTCAAATGGTTAACCATACTTTTTTCCAATTTTAAATGTAATTATAGTCGCCTTCTCCCAATTTAAAACCCTATTGGTTTAAATCAAACAGTGACTGGCCAATTTCAATATTCACTTTGATTATCAAAGTGAATATTGAAATCGGCCAACCACTGATGCCTAACAACGTGAATAATGAGTTAATTATTCACGTTGTTGTGAATAATGAAAAAAACAATATTATGCAATAGGAGTAGATAAAATATATATTCCTGAGTTGCTGACCTATAAAATCCCATAGGTTTAACACTGTTAACCCTTAGATACCCAAGCAGGGTAACTTGGGTCCCCCACTTTTAAAAATTTTGCTGTAACTTTCTTTTGGATTTGAGTAGGCAACTTTGCTTAAAGCTATTTGTCAAATAATGTTTAAGGTTATGGTTAAGAGTTAATTTTTTTTATTTTTTATTTATTCAAATAATTTTAGAATGTTAAGTTCTTAATAAACATCTTTAATATAAGTCTAATTATTGTTATTCTAAAGATATTGAATGTTTTAAATGGTATTGCAACACCGTTGGCCTCGAGTTTTTAAAAAATCAAAGGGGGAGTCCCCCTGGGGGACCCTGATGACCCCGCATGGATATTTATGTTGATTTGCGAGGCTTAAGGGTTAAATGACTGTAGCAACTAGTAGACCCTTTTAGTTATGCCTACAAATGTCTTTTTAATATTGTTCCAAATAGTTGCTTACTAGTGATGGGTTCAACCCGCACATTCTTGTGTGCTAGCACACGTAGCACAGCACACGTGTCGTACATTTGTGCGGAGTGGGGGAAATTATTCAAATTGAGAATCTCGCACATTGCACAGCTTAGCACACTGTGCGTGTCGTATCCAACTGTCGGTTTTGGATTTTTAATTGATGTAAAATCCAGTTTTATGTTTTTTTATGTTTATTATTAAAGTCGATAAATACAATTTTAACTTAAACCCTTTTTTGATGAAGTGACAATTTTATTTTAATATAATTATAATATAGACTGTGTTGCCATCTATATACATTACGATACATTATGGATTGGAAATTTTGAAAATATTATTTTCCTAGATATACAAACTGTTAGGTAATTATATAAAATAATTTCTCTACAACTTGTAACCTATGTGTTCTGTGCTGAATCATAGAGTCAAAGCCACACACGTAAAGATTCTTTACTAAAGAGCCATAGGTTAGATAAAGAGCACCGTGCCACATATGATAAAGGTGCCTTTTTGTATCTCTGGGTGCTATGTGCTGGTAGCACATTTAAAAAGAGTCGTACCAGCTCCGCACACACAAAAGTGTCGTACATTATGTACGACTCGCACATGTGCGACCCATCACAGCAATGCTTACTGTCATGCGTCTACTTTGGAAATACTACATATTTATTGTCGGCAGCCAACATAATATATATATATATATACATATATATATATATATATATATATATAATATATATATTATATATATTAGGGTGTTTCAAAAAAATCGACTTTTTCTTTTTCTTCAAATGGTCAGCAAATTCTTTCAGAGGATGTCAAAACAAAGACCTCGTTAAAATTTGAGCTTTTCATTTGAAGATTTAGAGGTCGCGGATCGCAATTTTCTATTTCCCATTTAAATAACATAGGAAATTTTTTTTAACTTTGGAATTTTATAAGTCTATATCAAATCAACTTATGGCAAGAAACATCTTAATTTTTATAGTAAATTTAATGCTCTATAAAAAATGTCTCTTATAATTTTTCTATAAATTGATTTCTTCCAGAGTTATTCGAGGCCAAAGTTTGATTTCCATCGAATTTTCTCGTTTTTTCAACTTTTAGCATCATGTAGTAAGAAAATCACATATTTATATCTGAAACATAGGAAGTTTTGTAAAAAAAACAAAAAAACAAAAAAACGTCACTTTTTTTCAAAACCTACTACAAAGGTTTAATGAAAATATGAGATGTGTATAATATGCAGAGTAATTTATTTATAAATGCATTTTTCTCGAAAATGGTGCATCTGAGAAATTAAAATTAAGAGTACCTATTTTTCCGTAAAAAACTATAAATTCTCATAATTTCATAAAAAAAATTAAATTATTAACCCAGAAAAAAGTTGGGGCTATTTTTGTAACTTTGCCCCCTCCAAATGTTACTCCTATGATTAAATTTTAACAGTTTTGATCATAGATCTAGATTCCGCATGTCAAAATTACCAAAGTATTGAAAATTCATTTGTTCATGTTCAACCCTCTCGGAATAGTTTTAAAAAAATTATCCTCTTAGGCTCCTATTCAGGTGGCCATAGCTCCTTTAGGGAGCATTTTTTGATACATGTTTATTAAACAATTAAACAAAAAAAGTGTTATTTTTATACGAATAATGCACTGTTTAAGTTTGGCCCCCTGATTTCGGGACACGTATAATGATAATTGTACCATAAATGTTAAAAAAACGCGAAAATTCGATGGAAATCAAAATTTGGCCTCGAATAACTCTGGAAGGAATCAATTTATAGAAAAATGATAGGAGACCTTTTTTGTAGAGCGTTAAATTTACTATGAAAATCTAAGATGATCCTTGACATAAGTTGATTCGATTCAGACGTTTTTTCAAAGTTAAAAAAAAATTCCAATGTTATTTAAATGGGAAATAGAAAATTGCGATCCGCGACCTCTAAATCTTCAAATTAAAAGCTCAAATTTTGACGAGGTCTTTGTGTTGACATCCTCTGAAAGAATTTGCCGACCATTTGAAGAAAAAGAAAAAGTGGATTTTTTTGAAACACCCTAATATATATATATATATATATATATACATTAATATGTATAAATTTATACATTTTTAGGTTTTAGAATGAATGCCAGTTCCTGGCCAATGTTTTTACTTAAAACACTAAATGGGGCTGAAATGGCTCCTTCTAAAATATTCCAGAAAGAACCTGCAGGTCCAAAAACCAACCTTTTTCAAATTGGCCAAAAACTAGAGGCAGTTGATAAAAAAAATCCACAATTAATTTGTTGTGCAACAGTTGGGGCTATTAAGAATGATCAAATTCATGTGACATTTGATGGATGGAGAGGTGCATTTGATTATTGGTGTAAATATGATAGCAGGGATATATTTCCTGTTGGATGGTGTGCAAAGTCTGGTCACCCGATGCAACCCCCAGGACAAAAAAACAATGCCGGAGCTAGCAGGTATTTTATGTCACAGCAAACAAAAATTGTGCAAACATTGGCCAATGGTAGGTAATAATTAATAATAATTATTAACATAACATTAATTATTAATGTTTGCACATTTTATTTGAGCAACATAACCAATGCAATTTTAATATCCATCCAATAATTGGCCAATCTTTGTTTAATACGTTTAATTGTCAATATTCTCAAAACCAAATTACAATAGTAAAACACATCAAGGTTACAAAAAATATATTTATTGCTAGATTATCTTGTTTTCTTTGATATTTTCATGCTATAGGAAGAATTCTAATGCACAAAAAAAAAAAATTTATTATGAGAATTAAATTAGTAGCTTTGGCTTTTTTGTCCTTTTTACTTTCACTGTAACTGCATATTGATATCAATGAAATTGGTTGATAGACGCGCAATGATTGAATTTTCAATTATTTTATTTGATTCTGCTGTTAAATTATAGTTTACACGCAGGCCCGTTCCTGGGGTGTTTGGTGCCTACTTGCAGCATTCTTTGGTGCGCCCCTTATATGTTTAAATATAATACATTAAATATTTTAATTTTTTAGCCCAAAAATTTAAAAAATATATAATTGAAAATTTGTAAAAACTGCTGAATTTAAGTATAAAAAATATTTATTAAATTACCAAGAGCGCGTTCGAAAACTCGCAAGAGTGCACTCTGGATACACTCCAAGTTTACCTTGCGCGTTCGAATTCTCTGGTATATACCTAGATATATGCAACTGTCAGCTGTTCGAAAACAGCAAGTATATGCCCAGAGTGCACTCTCGGTTGTCCAAGCTTTAGACTCGGTTAAGTTTTAAGCTTAATTTTCATGTATCCGTTTGTCCGTCAGTCCGTTCATCCGGGAGCGCTCTTATTGGTCCAATTATAATTCGAAAATTATGACATTTTATCGGTCCGTCAAGTTTCAACTTCGTACGTCTGACAGAGAAAGGTTAAATAATTTTATCTACGCCAGTGAGATAAGAACTTCTTATCCCACTCATTTTGAGTGAGATAAGAAGTTCATTAACGCACGCGTTTTTCTCTGCTTTTAACCAATCAAATAAAAAAGTCAAAATGTCAAAATAACCCTAAATTAAAGTCTTAGACAAAAATAATTACCGTTTATTTTTCCATTTAGAGGCGTAGATAAAAATTTGTACAATATACGTGTGATAACGCTTTATTAACGTACTTTTGCGATTGCCCAACTCGTGCTACGCACTCGTTGGGCAAATTTCGCATGCGTACGTTAATAAAGCTCTTATCCCACTTATATCGTAAATAACTATTATCTACGCCAGTGAGATAAGAACTTCTTATCCCACTCATTTTGAGTGAGATAAGAAGTTTATTAACGCAGGCGTTTTTCTCTGCTTTTAACCAATCAAATAAAAAAGTCAAAATGTCAAAATAACCCTAAATTAAGTCTTAGACAAAAATAATTACCGTTTATTTTTTTATTTAGAGGCGTAGATAAAAATTTGTACAATATACGTGTGATAACGCTTTATTAACCTACTTTTGCGATTGCCCAACTCGTGCTACGCACTCGTTGGGCAAATTTCGCATGCGTACGTTAATAAAGCTCTTATCCCACTTATATCGTAAATAACTATTAACTCATCCGTCACTACACATCTGTTTTTGACGCCTAACGTTATTTTAAGATAATTTATTTTCAAACATTTTTTTTTTTTAATAAGATTGTAAAACGGAAATATTACGTTCGTTATGTGAATAATGTTTTACTGTTAAGTTTTTATTTAATAAGAATAACGGAAAAAAAGAAAGGACAAACAAAAAAAAATTAAAACTAGAACTAAAAGGACCTGCTTTTTTAAAACTATAAATTTTAATGTATATTAGGGCTAGTATATTCTTTTTATAAGGTATATTTACCTACCTTTAAATTTATTAGACAGCTAACTGTTAAAGTTACAATTGTTGACATAATTGTAACTATGAAAATTAAGCATTAGGTAAGTTTAGTAAGTGAATATACTGACACTTAATTTCTATTTGTCGCAAAATCAATCCGTTAAACGTCATTAAAAAACGTATGCATGAAAATTAGAACATTTATTATCGGACGATTTTATTGAAAAACTGACATACGGATGACGGACAAACGGATACATGAAAATTAAGCTTTACCCGTCATGCGCATAGGGTACATGATGTACATCAAACAATAATTTGTATTTACCTTCATATAATATATTTATAACTGTTTAAAATTCAATAAAACAAAAACGAAAAACATTAAAATAAAAGAATGTTTTATAATAAATTATTTAAAAAATTTCAATTCTAAAAAACAAAACAAAATCCATCACAAAAACTTGAATAATCCATATAACTAAAGGGTTGAAATTCAATAACTTAATATTTATATGTATTCAGTCAAATAACAAGCAAAACCAATTGATTTTAGAACACTACAACATAAAGTTTATAGGTATATGCTCCGCGGCGTTCGAAAATAACAAGGAGGTCAGGTATAATGTAAAGTCACGTGATTATATACCTATCCTTATACCATATCCAAAGTACACTCTCATTTCGAACGCACTCCAAAGGGTATTTCTGCGAAACCTTACCCCACCATGACAAAAAATCAGATGTGTTATTTAACAAAATAAAAACTATATCTGAAGTCAAATAGTTTAATTTCGACGTAATTTATAACCTTAAAATATTCGTATATTGTAATTCTAAGAAGCTAGCATTAAGAATAAAAACGGAAGAGTTTCAATACTCAAAAAAGTTTAAATGTCGCACCCGTTACATTTTGAGAAAATTTTAGAAAATAATATATACAATATTTGTGCATATTATAAAATACGTGCTTGTTTAATTAAGGTTACTATTCAAGTTTTACACAAAAAATTATTACTATATGCTTTCATCCGAAATCAACTTTAGAAGCCAACTTGGTTGCATTTGCCGATTTTCTAAGGTCGCGCCCGTTACGCGATTTATGACGTTATAAAAGGTTTTCTATACAAGTTTTTATTAACATTTTGTATATTACATATCTTGATATGAACCAACACTTTATTATCATGAAAAAACGCAGTGTCAGTGTCGCACTCGTTACAATTGAAATACCCCGAAATAAACAAAATCATAAACAATATGTAGTAATAAAAATACCCTAAATAAAACAAAAATAACCAATAATATAAACAATATAATACTGGTTTTTAGTGACGCAAGCTCGTTACAAAGTGTATACCTACTAGGGTGCTTCAAAAAAAATTTTTTTCGCTCTTACCCTCTCAAATGTTTTTATTTAATATAAAGGAAATCCTCACCAAATATGGGCGTTCCAGCTCAACTCTAAGAAGTCGCTGTTTTTATTTTAGTTTCCCATTGAATTAACATGGGAAAAAATTAATTTATGTTTGGAATTTTGTACCTCTGTATCAAAGTAACTTATGGCAATGATCATTGCAGTTTCTTATATAAAATTTAACTCTCTACAAAAAAGGTCTCCTATTATTTTTCGATAAATTGATTTCTTCTAGAGTTATTCGAGGTCAAAGTTTGATTAACATCAAATTTACTGGTTTTTTTAATTTTATGGTACAATTAGCAGACGGGAGGTGAAAGGGGGCAAAACAATGCAACGGGGGACAAAATGGGGTACCCAAAAAATTTAGTAAAAAAATATTTTTTTTAGATTGTTTTTATCGGTTTCTAAATTTGAAAATTGACTCACCAGTTCACGCTTTTAATCGAAAATAATTATTCTGTGCCTGTAGAGCGAGAAAAAGGATAGTACAATTTTGTAAAACTTTTCATATGCTCATTTTTTGGGTACCCCATTTTGCCCCCCCCCCTCGCTGCCTTGTTTTGCCCCCTTTCACCTTCCGTTTTCTAATTATACCATAAAAAAAAACAGAAAATTTAATTTTAATCAAACTTTGACCTCGAATAACTCTAGAAGAAATCAATTTATCGAAAAATATTAAGAGACCTTTTTCGTAGAGCGTTAAATTTTGTATAAGAAACTGCAATGATCATTGCCATAAGTAACTTTGATACAGAGGTATAAAATTCCAAACATAAATTAATTTTTTCCCATGTTAATTCAATGGGAAACTAAAATAAAAACAGCGACCTCTTAGAGTTGAGCTGGAACGCCCATATTTGGTGAGGATTTTCTTTATATTAAATAAAAACATTTGAGAGGGTAAGAGCGAAAAAAAATTTTTTTTGAAGCACCCTAGTGTATACTGTGTACACTGTTAAACTTTGCTACCGTCAATTGCAACTATCAAACAAATACTAAAAATATTATGACAATTTCTGTCCTTTTATTTTGATACTCATATAAAAACGCGCTGTATAGCGGCCGAAAAAAGAGCGGCATAAGGCTTTAATGCGGCCGACGCAAATAAGTTACTAAATGAAATTAAGGAGATCCCATTAATTACAAAATATAAATATGCTGTAAAAGATTTGCTTCTCCAAAACTGTTTTTACTCTTTTAATAAATTTATAAACTTTTAATTTTTTTTGTTTTAAATAATGTATTTTAATCTTAATTTTACTATTATTTATGTAGGTATATTATTAATTTAGTGTAACCTCTGGACGTTGTCGATATCATTGTAATCATATTATGGCAATAAAACTATTATTGTTATTAAAGGCGGTAACCTTTATCCTATGTATTTTTAAGTATTTGTTTATTTGCAAAAACGTTTATCGTTACAAAGTACTGATTGACCCTTTGATTTTGCCCCCCAAAATGTTGCGCCTGCGTGCGAGCACGCACTGCACGCCTTGCCAGGAACGGCCCTGTTTACACGCTCTTACTAAATTTAAGTAATGAAATAATGCTTTTACTAATCATTTTTTTTTGTTATGCCTTAATAGTATATATTATAATAATTATATATATTACAAGAGATATTACGCGCGAGCGACGAGGTTACAAACGATGCCGCTTGCGGCAAGTGTGGAACGCCGTATTATAG